AAAAAAAAAAAAAAAAGAAAGACTATACCATAATAATGCCTGAACATAGAAAAAAAACATGACAGTTGTCCAAGCCTGAAAAATGACCAGACACCCCCTATCCTGGCTAATGTGAATCGACTGCTGCTGTTTTATCAACCACAGTGTCAGCCTCGCTTTTTTCCTCCCTCCTCCTGCGTACGGTTTATTAAGACGCCAATCATGGAATTGCCCCTGCGTTCTGGCAGCATCCAATCCAGAGCCAAAGCCCTTCTTCGAACCCTCCCCAAACTTGCCTCACACAAGCCCCAATCCTATAAGTCACCCTGAACACTCTTACTGGGCCACCCCACAGTTCTCCCATGGTGTGTTCTTCCTTGCAATAAGCAATGAGCCCAACTTGTTCAACTACAGATGCATTCTTGGCGGTCTCTGAATGGAGGCATTGACACCATCTCTCGTTACAAATACTTGACTTCCCTCTGCCTCAGTTCCCTCATCTTAAGTGATAATACCAATTTCACAGGGTCAGTTATTAGAAGGACTGAATGAGACCGTGTTAAACTCATTCATAACATGAATGCACCTCACACATAATAAACATGCAGTAGGAGCTGTTTCTATTATGTCAAACTGCCGACTTTCCCAGTCACAGCTCCAACCCAGTCCTCTCCCGGAAGCCACCCTATCCCTCTGAACTGCATCCCATCCCTGCTTAGGTGGCCAGAGCAGGGTGAGTGCATCTGAGCATAATAGGAGTGAGGAAAGGCAGTTCCTGCTAGGGCAGCTCAGGGCCTTTTATAGCCCTTCCCAACAGGCAAGGCCCTGCAGCGCCTTGGACATTGAAATGCCATAGAGACCTTTTCAGCATCAGCTCCTGCACCCCACCCTCCCTAGCCTGCCAGCTGTCTGTACTCACAGATGCTGTCTCCTGGACTTCGGGGGCTCCTCTCATTGGGCGAATCCTGCTGCTCCATGGGCTCTTCAGGGTGTGGGTCCTCCATGGTGACTGGGACCCCTCTGGTCAAGAGAGGAGCATGCATGAGTGAAGCCACCCATCTGTCAGAAGCCTTAAACAGCATGCTAATTCCATGATCTTTGATGTTTGATGTCGTCAGAGGCTCTCGTTGCAAGCCTTTGACTCACTACGACATACCATCTCCTTGAACTCTATCTGATGGAGCTGTCACTAGAGAACCTTCAAACCTCCCAAATGCTTGGACTCCCCAGGTTGTGACTTCCCTAGAGTCTCATGGCCCGTGTTACCTAAGACCCCCTGCATCAAACTAACTCCCTGAACTCAGCGTGCGAGTCTTGATCTTTGACACCAGCTTCATCCCAAGTGTCTTGGGGCAGGTAATGGTTCCCACCTTTTAGCTCGTTTCTTCCCGGGAGACATGCTTCTGTGACATCCTGTGAGTTTTGTTCCACCCAGAGCCCCCGCCTCCCACGCACGCTTTCAGCCGCTGCGTTAAGCACTGCCTTTGGGTCCCTGCTGCTCGGGCCGGTCGCCCAGGCCTCTGCTTTTCTCCGTACAGCAGAGGGCTGCCTTTCGCTGCGCCTGTCGGTCGCTCGCCACAGCGCCGCCACGCAGAGGGAAGTAGGGTAGGGCCCACCGAGTCTCAGGGTCCCAGTGGTTTCCGCGCCCTTTCGCCTGATGAGCCTCTCAAACTTGAGAGCCCGGACTGCCATAGGCAATAGTAGAGTCGTGCTAACCTGGTCCTCAAAATAAGGGGGGGGGTCCTTCTCTGCACTAGGGTGCGTTATGATGACGTTGCCACCGACCCGTTGCCGTACAAACCTAAGCTCATTGCGCAAGTAGGGGTAGGCGCGCAGGCGCTGTGACTCGCTTATTGTTCGAGGCTCTGAGACAACTGAAGCTGGGCGCGTGCGCACTTCGGCCGTTCTGCGCAGGCGCTGCGAAGCTTCCAAGACACACCCCCTTGCGAAGGGAGTGGCGTCAGGTTGGAGCCACCAGAACGCGTCTCCTCATCCCTAAATCCCGGAGGTCTTGCCTCTTCGGCCTCCGTCCGCCCGATCCCAGGGGCGGAGCTTCTCGGTGGCACACCGGTCGCCACCAATTACTCTCCCGGCTCAATCGGCTCTTTGCTCGGTTAGTGAATTGGAAGGGGAGAGGGATGATGGATTGGAGGCGAGATTTCTGAGTCTTTGAAGCAGAAAGGGAAACGCGTGCATCCAGAAAGGGGGCGGAAAGGACGCCTGGGTCCCTGGGGAGCAGGGCCTGGGCACTGGATTTCTAGATCCCTGAGAATAAAAGAAGGGGGCAGGGTGGAGAACTAAAGCCTCGGTCTAGAGTGGAGAGGCTAGGAAAGAAAAAGGCTGGGTGCTTCCTGACCCGGGTCTTCCCTACCCTCTTGCTTTCCAGCTATGCCTCCGCCACAGGGTGACGTGACCGCCTTGTTCCTGGGGCCTCCGGGCACGGGGAAGTCTGCGCTGATCTCAGCGCTGTGCGACAAGGATGTCGAGACTTTAGAGGCCCCCGAGGGACGGCCAGATTCCAGGGTCCCCAGCCTGAGAGCTGCTGGCCCAGGCCTCTTTCTGGGTGAGCTGAGCTGCCCACCCGCAGAGCCAGGGCCCTGGGCGGCGGAGGCCAACGTGTTGGTACTGGTGCTACCTGGACCCGAAGGGAACGGGGAGCCCTTGGCCCCAGCGTTGGGAGAGGCAGCGCGGGCTGCCCTGGGCCGAGGGACCCCGCTCCTGGCAGTGCGGAACCTCCGTCCTGGGGATTCACAAAATGACGCCCAGGTCCGGGATCAGACAGCGGCTCTGCTGGATAGAGAAGGGTTAGGAGCCGCGGCTCTCTTCGTACTGCGGGCAGACTGCGGCAGCGGCGAAGGCTGCGAGGAGCTAGAGCGCCTGCGGGCGGCGCTGCAGAGCCAGGCGGAGGCACTGCGGAGGTGAGCTCGGGGTTTCTGGCTGGGCTGGGGAGGCTTGGTCCGTTAGTCTAGACCCCCTCCCCCTAAGGTGCTCTTTGAGGTCCAGGAGACCACACCCCCAGTGAGTTTGGGGCGAGGCTTAACTTGACATCTGCGGAGGGCCTGCTTGGTGGTTCAGGCCCGCCCCTCAGCACAGATTTTGAGGTCAGGGAAACTCTAACCCAAGTGATCCCTCCATGCTTAACCCTTTTTTTGTCATCTAGAACCCACCCTAGCCACGTGTCAAGTGGAGGTACCGACCTATTATCAGGGCCCCACCTTTAGTGGGAGCTCTGAAGTCACCCTGCTCTCAAGCGAGAATTCTAGGAGAGGCCGGATCTGTCTCCCAAATGCTGCCCCCACACAAAATTTTGAAGGAGGGCGGCTCCCTCTTGCCACAC